TGGCCATCGGTGATCGGTCCTGTGGGAAAAATGCTCCGTCCTCTCGAGGACGCGTGGTCAATGGTCTAACCGCTAAGGCATGCAAAACATAAGAGTACTTCCCCCCCCCCCCCTCCGCGCGTACGCTTTTTGTGCTCCTCTCCTTCTTTCCCCGCCGCCACAGGTTTCGAGAGCTCTTCGGCCTTGACACCGTTCCCATCGACCACTTCTGGAAGTTCCTGGGTCTGTCGATGCTGTCGGGGGCGTCTTCCGGCGCCGTGTGCCTGTCCGTGCTATACCCGCTAGACTTCGCCCGCACGCGGGTGGGCACCGACGTCCGGTCGTCGGGCAACAGGCAGTTCCGCGGGAGCTTGGATTGTCTCCGCCAGGCGTACTCGACCGTGGTGAGTTAAGCTTTCGTTCGGTTCCTCCCCTCCCCGGTAAGCGTTGGTTTCTCGCCGTTGGTAGGAGCAGCAGCAGCGGCAGCCGCAACTGCAGCAGCAAGCGCCGGGTGTGGTGTGCACGCAGGCGGAATGGATCGCTGCAGTCGTGTTTTTGTTTTGCGTGTTGTTCTGTGTTGGGTGGGGGGCGTGCTCATGCTTTGCATACCCTTGTTGTTGGTCCATTGACCACGCGTACTCGACAGGACGGAGCGGTGATTTGCGGCTGCGTGCTTGACGTGCCGGATGATTGGTTCTGCTGTCGATATTCTTGGATATAGTTCAGAACCGCCTTATTGAGGCATCACAGGGAAACAACGAAGTAAACGATTGCATTAGATGACCGGGCACCCAGGGCTCTGGTCAAGGTAAGTGGGATCGAAAGCTGAACTACGCGTCCCTGCCGAAGTGCAGCAGTACAAGACAAGCCTTTGTCAAACTCATTCACATCGAACCGTCGCCAAAGTCTCGGACGTATCTGAACCAATCTTTCAATAACGTCCTGTGAGTATATCCCGAACGGGTAGTCTTCGTGTGTGTGTATTTATTTTTCCTATTAAAACACCGCCACGTTATTTTGTTATCGCTACAAATCGCAGGGCCTTCGAGGTATCTACCGAGGCTTCGACGTGGCCGTGCTCGGGGTGGGCGCGTGGAGGGCGCTCTACTTCGGCTTGTACGACACCTTTACCACCAGGTTGCTCGGGGGGAGGCAGGGCGGCACGCTGCAGGAGCGGTGGGCGGTCGCTCAGATGGCGACCTCCACGGCAGGAACGTGAGTGGTACCTATGCGTACCACTTTTCATCCAATTCTTCCTCGGAGGCCCGCCCCCCCCCCCCCT